CACCCACTCCTGTGGGTGAGCACCAGCCTTCAGCTCCCAGCCCTCATCCCAGATGGATAAGCACTGCCTTTAAACCAGCACCACATCAGCACCTAGAGGAGCATTTGGCCAACCCCCTGGTAATTTTGCACGGGGCAGCTCACCCTTTTTATGCCCAAAGACACATTGTTTCTGCTCCTCGTGGAGCTTTGGCACCAGCTCATCACAAGCACACGGCAAGAGAGGGTTGCGTGGACCTGCAACCCGAACCAGAGCACCTCTCCCAGGGGATTTACACCCTCTCCAGGATTCCTTTACAGGATTTCCAGGGGCTGTGCCCTGCTGCACTGGGGCTGATGCGTGTTTTGACCCCAACACCTTCCCATCCCACAAACCCACGTACTCCTGCTACCCACACCCCTCGCATTCCTGCCTCATGCACAGAAAGGGTTAACGACAAAAAGGCAAGAAAATCCCCTAATTTAATGACCAGGGAGGCTCACAGACCTCTAGCTTAGCGTTTTAAACATCTGCAATACGTGATTGAAGAGATTTAATGGCGTTGGCAATTAGAGGGTCCCCAAAAGGTTGTGCGTGGAGGGGAAAAGCGCTCATAGGACTCTTGTGCATCCCAGCCCAGCACACACTTCCCGTGGCAGAGGTGACTTTACAGGTGGCACAGAAGACAGAAAACCAGGACAGGTCATGCACAGGATGGGTGATTCTCCTGATTTAAATGCAATCCCTAAAACCAATGTTGCAAAGCCACAGGTACCCCCAGGGCTCAAAGCAAACATTCACCAGCAACCCCTGGGCAGTGATTGCAGCTCCCTACAGAGCAGGGGACAAATTTCCATCTTCCTTCCTTACATGGGGAATGGCACTACAGGGGCACCAGCCACCCCAAAAAGCAGAACACTGGGACAACCAGCTCACTGGCAGGGTCAGACACCCCAAGCAAACACCTATCCCTCCTTGGAGATCCCCTAAACCTCAGACTTGGGTCTTTTATTGCCTTCAGGACAAACAAAGCACAAAAAGCTCAGTGCAGCTGCGCTGGGAGTGAGCACAGAGAGGGAAAACAACCCAAAAGAACCCGAACCTCAGGTCCTTGAAGAGCTCCCGGCTCCATAGTGAGCATGTGACCCTCGGATTGCCCCTAAAAGACATTATTGAGGTGCTGCCCGACTGAACTGTGTGTGTGAGACCCCTCAAAGCCCCCCCAGAGTCTGTGTTTCGCTGGGGTGCAGCAGAGCTGTGGGAGGTGGCGAGGGCGACGTGTGAAACCGCAGGGGGACCAGCAGCTATTTCTGCTCCGTGTCAGCACCCACTGACAGCACCCTGAGAACACAGCAAAGCTCCAGGCATCTTTTTTTCCGTGTGAAATCCACCTGTATACCTGTCTGTGTTTCTACCTCGTCCCCACAGGACTGAAAGGTGTGGAGCCTGTTGGTTTTTGGGTGCAAAGCTGGGGAGTTTGGGGTCGAAGTGAGCTGCT